CTGTTGCAACTGTTTGACTCTGCTGTTGTTTAGTACAAAAGCAGCCATAGACAATATGTAAATGAATGAATGTGGCTGTGTTTCAAGAACATTTTATTTATGGAGACTGAAATTTGAATTTCATATGTGTCACAAAACATTATTCTTCTTTTGATTTTTTTAACTATTAAAAAATACCAAAGCATTTCTTGATTTGTGGGCCATATGAAAACAGGTGGTAAGGTAAATTTGGCCTGCAGGCCGTAGTTTGCTAGATCCTGGTTTAGAAAATTGAAATTATAAAGAAATGTTTGAAAGACACAACTGATAATTTGTGGCTGGGTATTAAATGTTCACCCTTTTCCCTGGTACATAGCTTTAGATTATACCCTCAGTCTCCCTCACAGTTAGGACTGGCCATTTGACCAAGTTCTTTTTTTTTTTTTTTTGAGACAGTCTCGCTCTGTTGCCCAGGCTGGAGTGCAGTGGTGCGATCTTGGCTCACCACAACCTCTACTTCCCAGGTTCAAGTGATTTTCCTGCCTCAGCCTCCCAAGTAGCTGGGACTACAGGCATGCGCCACCATGCCTCGCTAATTTTTGTACTTTTAGTAGAGACAGGGTTTCACTGTGTCGGCCAGGCTGGTCTCAAACTCCTCCCAAAGGGCTGGGATTACAGGCGTGAGCCACCGTGCCTGGCCTCATTTGACCGAGTCCACATAGCCATTGGAATGTGGGCAGAAGTGATGTGTTGTTGCTTCCAGGTCTGGTCTATAAAAACCTCCCATCCATGGTCCTCTATGTTCTTTTCTTGTGTGTAGAATATGGAGGGACCTCAAGAAGGAAGGAGGTTGGTTCTCGTTTTGGTTTTACATGAGTAAGAAATAAACTTCTATTTTGTTGAGCCACTGAGAGTTTCAGAGTTTTTGGTTATAGCAGCCAGTGTTATCTTAACTAGTATGTCATTACTTTTACCAGATATTTTTGGTTTGATTCTTACACTAAATTGAACTCTCAAAGATTACATATTTGGATGGACTTGTTTTTCTCCTCCTCTCTTCTTCATTTTCTCCTTTATCTGTATCTTTATCTTTATCTTTTTTTTTTTGAAATGGAGTTTCACTCTGTCACCCAGGCTGGAGTGCAGTGGTGTGATCTTGGCTCACTGCAACCTCCGCCTCCCAGGTTCAAGCGATTCTCCTGCCTCAGCCTCCTAAGTAGCTGGGATTATAGGCACCCGCCACCAAGCCTGGCTAATTTTTTTTTTTTTTTTTTTTTTGGTGTTTTTAGTAGAGACGGGGTTTCAACATGTTGGTCAGGCTGATCTTGAACTCCTGACCTCAAATGATCTGCCTACCTCAGCCTACCAGTAGCCACCATGGCCGGCCTGTTTCCTCCTTTTTCCACACTTAACTGGCAGATGATAGACTGGGTTGCTTTCTGTGTTTTAAGCAATTAAAGTTTGGTGGCCATTAGCTTTCGCTGAGATGTTACAAGAAACATGAAACATCATTTTTACCATAGAGATGTTAGTGAGAAAACAGTCACTGACATGAAACCCACCTGAGGAATTCTCTTGGAACTCAGGGCCAGGAAAAACTTATCTTCCCCTGAGAAATTTGTGTTTTCTTATCAACAAAGAGAATATCATTGAGTGTACCTGATTGTATTCCCTTTTCCCTTTTCCCTCTGGTTGCCAAGAAGCTCAGAGCCAAATTTTTGGCTCAACATTAATAACTTCATAGGACCCTGTGGCCTACATATCTGCATTCTTAGTTTCCTACTGGTCTTGACCTTCTATTCTGCTGTGTTTTCCTTGTTCCTGATTTTTTAAATTTATATTTTTTAATTTTATTGCTTGTTTTTCTTATAAGCTTCCTCAGACCCTTTGTGGAACAAAATGGCGTAAGTTAAAAAATGGCTTCAGCTTATTAATAGAATACACCAGAAACATTCCTTAATCGCCAATTTAGTGGTCTGGGAATTAGAACTTCAAATTTATTTCTCGGGCTCTCTCCTTAGTCATTACATCTCACGGTTTGGTGAAGGGATGGTTTTGCAATTATGAGAACTGAAGGCCTTCACATTTCCCCAGTCTACTTTAAAGGAAAAAAGAATGTCATTTTACCAAAAGTCCCTATGATTTGCCATAAAAAATGGAGACAGTTCATAAGGAAGTTTAACAGATAGATGATAGACTGGGAAAAGATGTTTGCGATGTTTGCAATGTTTAAAAGCAGCAGCAAATTAATGTAAAGAATATACAGTGACCTCCCGCAAATCAAGAAGAAAAAGATAACAAACTCAACAGAGAAATGGTCGAAAGATATAAATAGGTTATTTTCAGATGCTGAAATTTATCCGTTATCAGAGAACAGCAAATTTAAATAAGTTATCACTCCATACTCATCCAATTGGCAAAAAAATGTCTACTTTATTTTTTTACTCACCATTATACTAACGAGGACAATCAGCAAAAGTTAAAAGGTAGACAACAGCAAGTATTGGCAGCATGTGGGTGATGAGAGTCCCCATGCACTGTTGGTGAGTGTCTAGACTGGTACAGCTATTATGGAAAACAGTCTTTCAGTATTTAAACTACATAAATACATTATGACCTCTTCGAGGCATATCTTCCAGATATATTCTTCCTTAAGTTCAGTAGAGAATACACACAAAAAAGTTCATCTCAGTCTTATTTGTGGTAGAGGGTATTTGAGGCATTCTCGTGTCCATCACAAGAGGAATGGGTGAGTAAAATGTAGTGGAGGCATGTTTTGCAGTAGTTAGAAGCAATATAGCTTTACAGTAACATCTTATGATTTTGAAAAATAGTGTTCAGTGGGTTGGGTGTGGTGGCTCATGCCTGTAATCCCAGCACTTTGGGAGGCCAAGGCAGGTAGATCACCTGCGGTCAGGAGTTTGAGACCAGCCTGGCTAACATGGCAAAACTTCGTCTCTACCCAAAATACAAAAATCAGCCGTGCGTGGTGGCGTGCACCTGTAATCCCAGCTACTCAGGAGGTGAGGCAGGAGAATCGCTTGAACCTGGGAGGTGGAAGTTGCAGTGAGCCGAAATCTCGCTACTGCACTCCAGCCTGGGTGACAGAGAGAGACTCCATTAAAAAAAAAAAAAAGTGTTCAGTTAAAAATATATGAAAGATTGATATATTTAGCATAAACACCATTTACATAAATTTAAAACAGCCATAAATAAAATAACACAACATGGTTTAAAAGGATTCAGACAAGTTAATGTATCAAACTCATTGAAGTACCTATGTTTAGGGTGGAGAGGAGTAGGAGGGACAGATGATCATTTACCACGAACTCAACTATTTGTACTGACATGAAAAAAAAGAAGTGTGTGTCATCCTGATAGGAAGTGGGCACTGTAGTGTTGCCTTTATATGCCCTAAGGCATCCAAGTATCATATGAGAAGTCACTGGTGGTGGCTGCATAGAATGTAAGCGTGGATTCAGACTCACTTGGCTTTGATCTCAGCAACAACTTTGAATTTACCAAAATTTTGCAGCAGCTTGAAAGTGAGAACTTTGTAAAAATCTCTACCTCAGTAAAGGAAGTACCTCTGACTTCATTTATTCATTCAGAGCGTAGCGTGTTGGCTGACAGCATGAACTCTGGAGACAATTCCTGGCTCTGCCATTACTTACTGTGTGACCGTGGGCAAATTACTTCATCTGACATGCCTCAGTTTTGATTGGTTTTGAAAGATGGGGATAGCAATGGTTTTTACTTCGTAAGGTTGTTGTGAGGATTAAACAAGTCAATATTTTGAAGCACTTAGGATGGTGCTTGGGTACATAGTAAGCATTATGTAAGTATTCATTAAATAAATAAAAGCATTTAACAAATATCTGAGTACCTAACATGGGCAAGGACTATGCTAGATTCTGGCAATATATCTCAGAAAAGAGGATTTTTTTTGTTTGTTTATTTTTCATTTTTTGAGACAGGGTCTTTCTCTGTCACCAAGGCTGGAGTGCAGTGGTGTGACCATGGCTCACTGCAGCGTCGACTTCCTAGGCTCAAGCAGTCTTCCTGCCTTGGCCTCCATAAGTGTTGGGATTACAGGCATGAGCCACTGTGCCTTGCCAGAAAAGAGACTGTTTACTACCTCTCTCATCCTGCCCTGCCTAGGTTCCAGGGTCTTAGTCCTTGCTTCATTGTGTCCAAGCTCCATCTATTGCTATATCTGTGTCTTTTTTTTTCTTCTGTGTTCGAGTGTCTCTTTATTCTCTGACAAATACGCTCATTACTGAAAGATTGGGACCTGGGGAAATTCACTGGTGTTTGAGGCTTCAGTCCGGGCTGCTAGATCCTTTTAAGGCTAAATGCAAACCTGGATGTCTGCTTCTGCCAGGCTCTTGACTCCTCTGACATTCTACCTGGTGGTTCTTCTTGCCCCTTCCCCTTTATTGCTGGGTGGTTGCCAGAACACCTCAGTAGGGCTGTTCAAAGACCTTGTCTTTGCTAGTCTTTCCCATTATGGTAAGTGGCTCTCTCCAGAGGTTCAAGCCGGAATCCTAGGAGTTATCCTTGGTTCCTCTTTTTTCAACCCACTTTATTGAATCCATCAGCAAGTCCTGTTAATTCTACCTTCAAAACATCTCTTGAATCTCACAGGCTTTGTTGATCTTCGCTGTCATCACCCAAGTCCAGCTTCCCACCATCTTGTTCCTGGATCCCTGTAGTCACTCCGGGACTGGTCTGCCTGCTTTCTCTTTTGCCCCCTGCATTCTATTTGTCACACAGCAACCAGAAGGGTCTTTAAAAAATGCAAATTGGATTATGTTTGAACTCTGCTCAAACCCTTCAATGACCTCCCATTGCGCTTAGAATTAGTGCTACTAAACCAATGATTTAATTTATAAGAGCAAGTTTTAAAATCAGTGTTTTCTAACCCTTGGGTCAATCTCAGAGCATTTTGCTATGGAATTTTCAAAATTAAAGAGTACAATTGCAACATTTAATTGTTTAATTTTCTTCTGTATTATTAGATATTTTGCTGCTAAAAATAGTTGGAGTCGGGAGGAGGAGGACTGGGGCATAACCGTCAGCAGCTGCAGCTCGGAGAAGCTAGTTCTCTCGTCTTCAAGAAGGCCGATCTCTTCCCTAGCCTGCTGAACCTTCTGTGTTTTGGGGAAGGTTTGTATTCTTTCTTCCTCAGGATTATGGTCCTGAGAAAGTGTCTTCTAGTTCTCATCAGGACTAGGATTGAGGACCAGCCCTGGGTCAAAAACATAGGATATGGGTGAGCACACAGTGGAGCACTGAGCAGTCAGGACTGAGTCACCAGACAGTCCCTGAGCCATAGAAGGCTGCTGCTGGGGAGGAAGCAGACGGAGGTGCAATGAAGGTGAGTGTGCCACGCTAGAGTCAAGCGCCTTCGTCAAGATTTAAGGAGAGGGGGAGTGAAGGACTGGAGTAGAAACCATAGGTACAGACATGAAGAAGGTAAGGCCATTACAGTCTAAGGAGAACAGCGGAGGTTTAAAACCCCTCGCAGGTCTCAGTGGAACTCCTTCCCCAACTCACAGATTAGCTTCTTTTTACCAACTCAGCTTCCTTTCCTGATAAGCCCAGTCACCATGTAGACTCTGTCAGAATTTAATGCACTCTTTAAACCAGTGGGTCTCAGTCTCATTAGAATCATGTGGGAAGCTTTGTTAAAAAGAAAAAAAAAGATGCCTGGGTTCTACTCACCTAGGTCAACAGAATCAGAATCTCTAGGGAGGCGGAGGTGGCATAGGGTTGGTGGAGTTGGGCCCAGGCATATGTGATTTCTTTAGAAGTTCACCGTGTGATTCTGATGCCCAGTGAGGGTCAAGAACCATTGCCTTCAGCACTCTTACTTTGAGTAAACAGGATCATTCCCCGCTTTTGAGATTTAAAATTTTAGAATGCTGTAGCTAGATGATAGTTTGTGGCAGTGTTTCTCAAATTTTCTTGTGCATGTGAATCACCTGGGGATCCTGTTAAAAAGCAGATTCTGGTTTAGGTGGCTGGAAGTGGGGCCTAAGCTGTGGCATTTCTCACTCATGTCCATGTGACATGGGAGCTGCTGGAGTGAGGACCACCTTGATTGCAGTGGAGCTTTAGATCGAATACAGATGGAATGCTGCCTCTGTGCCAGACCCTGTGCTTAGTGCTGTACATTCATTGCATTCTCACAAGCCTCTGAAAGAGGTACTGTTTATAATTCCATTTTACAGGTGAGTAAACTAAGGCCTAGATAAGTTAAGCATCTTGCTCAGGATCATAATGCTGGTAAGTAATAGAGGCAGAATCTGGATCTAGATGGTCTGATTCCAGAAACTGTGAGCTGAACCACAATGTAATACCACTTCAAAGGCAGGATGGGGCTCAGGGGAGTACCTGCAGTTGAAGCTGTGTTTGTATAACAAGTACATTATTTTTAGTTTTATTTTCATTTGAGATAGCCCCTGGAAGAGGGGAATAAAAACAGGTATTACAGAGGAGCTAAAGTTCTCTAAGCCACCCCTTGGCCTGTCCCTGTACGCCATGCCTTCATGTTGCTGGGCAGGAACAGGAGTTCATTGCAAGGTGTATATCGCAATTAAATGGCAATATATTTCAGGTATAGCTGTATATCTCATAGATAGCCAGGTGGCTTTTGACCTTATGATGACTTTGTTGTCAGAACTGAGGCCTCTTGGATTGTCATGACCTGGCCGTTGCCTGCTTTTTCCCCTCCTCTTCCACAGTTACCTCCCTGATTTATCCGATGGCAGGCTCTAGACACATTAAGTGCTTTCAGTCCCCTGACGGTATCACAATTTTATATTTCATGAATGTTGTCTTCTCTATTGGATGTCTTTGTTATCCTTTTCTTGCCAGGTTAAATGCTATCTTGTTCAACATCCCGGACAATGTAGCTCTTCCAAAAAGAATTTTCTAACCCTCCCAGCCAGGATTAAGTAATTGCCCCCCACTCCTTTGATCTGTCATGGTCCCCTATTTCTTTTAATTAGAGCACTTACATAATTTACTTTTCTATTTAGTCAGACAGTGAAACTCTCTAGGGTTGTGCTTCATTTATCTTTGCATCCCAGGGCTTAGTATAGTATCCAGTACATGGTGAGAAGGCTGACAGCATGTGTATTTAATGAATGAATGAGCCTTTTATTCCCAGTCCAGTCTTCTTTCCAGTTGATGATTTGACTGAACTAGCAGTTTTCAATCCTGACTGTAGGATTTTAAAAATAATTTGGATCACACCCAGGTCAATTAAATCACAATATCTTGGGGGTGAGGCCTAGACATCTGTGTTTTTAGCAGAGTTCCCCAAGTGATTCTAAGATGTAGCCAGGTTGAGAACCAAGGGATTAAACTTTCAGAGTTACTCTTGCTGTGGTTGGAGCGTAACAGGTGAAAGTAACATAGAGGAAAATTGTTGTCTGTCTTCAAAACTGAAAAGGAGAAACAGAAGGAAATATGCAGGTAAACTGATCACTTACCTAGGTTTTTTGAAAGTAAATATATAAAATAACTGCATTTTAAGGCTGGGATAAGGAAATATCATAAAACCCAATAATCAATTACAAAGTATGACACTTCTAAAAATTGGGAATCATTTTTCTAAAATTATACTTTAATGATTATCTATAGTATATCATCCAAATCTGTGCTTTTTTTTTGCTATTTTTATCCATATATCATTTGCCTTGAGTGCTAGCGAATGATCTTTAAAGGCTTTCAACAAATGACTCACCATTCTCTTACTTTATAATATAGTATGCTAATTGGCAGTCATCTTAGGAGTGTTAAAATATGGCAACAATAACATGAAGTTAATTGTAAAGGAAGGGAATTGGCTCTTTGTGACTCTAGATCATTCCACGTATGAGCAGACTTGTAAATACATCTGTTTATTAATTCTCCATGCAAATGATTAGTAGTTATCTTCTCTCAGACAAAGTGCTACATATTGGAGGAAAAAAGGTAATACAAGACGCCCTCCCAGAAGTTCGCTGTCTAAAATATGAATAATTAACAGTGCACCATGTTATGCACAATGGAGATCCACTCCAATGAGCACAGGAGGGAAGATGTATCAGGGAAGGATTCACATGAAGCTTATCCACACGCACATAATATACAGCAGTGGTGTCAGAGGGCATGGATGACATTTCAGATGGTACTGAAAGGACAGCTTCAGGCACGGGGCCCAGGTTGGAGTGCAGTGGTGCGATCTTGGCTCATTGCAACCTTGACCTCCCCAGGCCCAGGTGATCCTCCCACCTCAGCCTCCTGAGGAGCTGGGACTACAGGTGCCGCACCACGCCTAGCTAATTTGTGATTTTTGGTAGAGACAGAGTTTCAACATGTTGCTCAGGCTGGTTTCAAACTCCTGGGCTCAAGCAATCTGCCCACCTCGCCCTCCCAAAGTGTGGGATTATAGGCGTGAGCCACCATGCTCAGCCTGATGTGTTTGTGTATGGTTAAATCCATGACACAAGATTTAATGTGCCATTACAAATGCTGTAATCTCAGCATTTTGGGAGGCTAAGATGGGAGGCTTGGCACTTGAGTCCAGGAGTTTGAGATCAGCCTGGACAACACAGCAAGACTCTGTTTCCACCAAAAACAAAAACAACCATAGCACGTCATGATGGAGTTTTATTGGAGACCCACTCTCAAAAAGAGCCCTAAAAGAATTAAATAATGGTATTTAACTGACAGACACATGAAAAAATCTTGTTTCATATCTCAAAGTAACAGTAACAGTAACAGTTTCTTATGCCAGCAGAGAAAGATCATGTTTTAGAGAGATGGAGGTTTGACCATCTTCAGACAGTGACCTGCCCCTGCAGTACTTCAGAACTCATCAAAGACAGGAAGAGAAAAATGGAGTCACAACCTGCCAATTACTGCTTTTGCCTGGAAACAGTGCATTTCACTTCCTTTTCTCATTTCATTGGCCAGAAATGATTACATAGCTATGTATAAAATAAGGGGCATGGGGGAATTATAATCTTTGTGTGTCCTGAAGTGGAGAACACTTGAATACGGGGGAATGTTACTGATGTCTACTGTAGTCAGTCTTTTCAGCTTCACCCATGTGTGTTGGAAATACGAGGGTGTGCTTTTCAGACATGAAGAAAAAAAATGACTTCATTACTATTGGTTATTATTCTTTTTATATTCTAATATATATATAGGATTGTTGCCAATCAGATTTTTTTTTTTGTCTTTTTTTTTTTTTTTTTCCTTTTTGTGGAGAACGGGGTCTCGCTATATTACCCAGGCAGGTCTCGAACTCCTGGGCTCAAGCTATCCTCCCGCCTCTGCCTCCCTGAGAGCTGGGATTACAGGCGTGAGCCACTGCGCCCGGCCCAGATTTTTATTTAAGAGCAGTAGCAAGACCTGTCTTCATCAATATTAAAACAATTATTTTAAAGCTTTGAAATTAAGTTAAAGGCTATTACTTAAAGCAGCATGAATATGAATTCCAAGTAACAATCAGTATGATGATTGCCTTATTAAAATAATTTTAATTGAATCAATGTGCCCATGTGGAACACCTAGGGATTACAGGAGTAACTTCCATATAAAAGTTACCTCAGTGAGCTGGTTTCAAGCATGAGCCAGCAATGCAAATGCAGGCATATCACTTTATTTTTTTTTAAAGAGATGAGGTCTATCTCTCTCGCCTAGGCTAGAGCACAGTGGCAAAATCACAGCCCACTGCAGCCTAGAACTCGTGGGCTCAAGGATTCCTCCTGCCTCAGCCTCTCAAGTAGCTGGGATGTGCCACCACACCTGGCTAATTAAATTTTTTTTTTTTTTTTTCGTACAGACAGGGTCTCACCATCTTGCTTAGGCTGGTCTTGAACTCTTGGCCTGCAGGCGATCCTCCCACCTTGGCCTCCCAAAGTGTTGGGATTACAGGCATGAGCCACTGTGCCAATGTGCCTGGCCCATTCAAAATACAAGATGTATGCATTTTTTTTTTTTTAATTGCTTTCAAAATCTCTCACACACTACCACTTCCTTCCCCACTGTGGTCAGGAAGGAGGAAAGATTTGGGGAAGAGAAAGGATGGAATCCACTTGGGGTAGTTTTGGTGGAAGTAAAACAGTTTTCTGAGAAAAAAGGGGACTGCACTATTTCTTTCTTTCCTCCTCCTTGGCTAACATGTCAAGTGGTTAGGGGACCATTATTCCCCTCCTTAGCTGGCCCTCTGGATGCTAGTGCTATCCAATAGACCTTCCTATCCCTGCAATAATGAGTATGGTAGCCACTAGGCACGGATGGCTATTGAGTACTGGAAGTGTGGCTACTGCAATTGAGGAACTAAACTCTAATTTTATTGAATTTACTAACCTTAAGTAGCCATGTGAATTTAGGTGATAGGAGAGAGGGAGGTTGTTCTTATTCCTGTTTCTTGGTGTAGGTTTTTCTGTACATCACAATTATTTTATCTTCCACACAAGGAGATGTTGGAGAAGAGCTGAGTCAGTGGGGGATCGGGTGGGAGTGAAGCATGGACCTAGGCAGAGCCTGTTGCAGTGCCTCCCTTCCCTAGCCAGTGCAGACCAGGCTCCGGTCATGATCAGTGGGGGCCAGGACCAAGTGATGCCCAAAGACTTCACAGACACTAAAATGGGAACTATTACATGAATCTCAGACCTGATTTTGTTTTAAAACCTATGACTTAGGATATGAGAAAAAAAGAAAGAGGCAAATAAACCTAGTGTTGTAACCTTTTAACATAGCATTAGCATCCATTTTTTCATAATATATTTGGATATAAAATCTTTATTGTGCTCAGAATTCTTATTAAAAATGCAGTGAACTGTAGTTTGCACTTTTGCAGCCTCTCATTCCTCAAATTGTTCTTTTGTAAGAAATAATTTCTTTGATGGTCATTGTTTAATGAAAGACACGGGCAGTTATAAAAGAAAACTAATGTCGTCAAACATTCATCTGGTGACTCCTGTGTACTGGTGCTGTGCTAACAATGAATGGCACTTTGCAACACTAATTTTTAGCAAAATAATGACTTCTTAGCTGTAAAGTCCCCATGGGTGTGTGTCCTAGAAGCATATATTCTTTTCTATCTTTATCTATTGTTCATTTTGGAAAACATCTACTTTTATTACACGATTGTAAAAATTAGTGCTCATATTAAACAATTTAATGAACTGAAGTACCTCAGTCCTTTTGAAGCCTGACTGGCCTCCTCTAGATCTTTGGGCAGAGGTCAGCGTACAGTGATTTGCTGAAATGCTTGGATTTTATTCTTGAGATTTAATGTGAAGGCAAGTGAGTGAAGTGAGGTAGGAAAGCACGTATGATTTCAAGATAATCTGATTTTTAAAAAGATAGAACATTTCACTTTCTGAATTAAAATTATCATCTTAAATA